GTGTGTGTGTGTGTGCGTGCCCTTATTTCCATTTGCCTGATCTTCATTAAATGTAAAACAAATGTCCTCAGTTCTCCATTTCATGAGTTTCTTTCTGTGCAGTGTAAAAATCTTCTTGTGTATTCTGTATTCCCTGAGCATCAAAATGAAGTGGGAGATAAAACTTGAATCCCAACACGGTCAGTTCTGCATCTGTGGAGGAACACTCATTTTGTGATGGATGCAGTTCAGAAGATGTTCACGACATCAAACTACATTTGTTGAAAGCTTTGGTGTGCTTTTATGCAAATATGAGCAGTACAAGGACTAATGAATGAATGAGTGCCTTTCTGCAGATAATGTCTGTGTGTGTATCTGTGTGTGTGTTCTTGTGTGAATATGTGTGTGTTGTAATACCCACCGGAGATAACTGAGATGTGAAGCACCTCACTGATCCCCAGTGTCGCCTGAGGGATTTACCTAATCTAGCCATCTATCACACCAAAGCTTCATCTCACCTGTGTGTGCGTGTGTGTGCAAGGGTGTGAAGGGAAAACATAGAGTATCGATTGAGAGATCTGCAGTGCTCCTCAATGTGCTTCAGTTGCCTGTGTGTGTGTGTGTGTGTTGTGTGTGTGTGTGTGTGTGTGTATGTATAAATGATAGCAATACAAATACAGAAAAATGGAGAGACAGCTGACGATAAGCACGGCTCAAAGGTTTTATTTTAGTAACTATGATCTTTACCATAATCTACCTGCTTATTGTTAAATTAATATAAACCCAAATCCTACAACCACTGGGCAGTCTGGTTTTGTCCCGCCTTATTGACTGGCTGCACAAAGTCTGAAGTGATTAAACTGACTCAGCATCAGTTGAGCCTTAAGAAGTTTGAAAATGAAAGAAACTCTAGAGTCACAAATTTGTGAATTTCCCAGACCTCTGTAGCCATGGGTCATTTCTGCTATAGAGGCTAGCTAACTTAGCTTAGTACATAGCCTGGAAACAAGGAGAAAAGGCTAGCCTGGCTCTTTCCAATATTGACTAAATCTGTCTACTACCACCTCTAAAGCTCTCTAATAATCTAAAACAGTGTCATTTTAATGATGCATGTTCTGCTGGGTACAGTAGTTTGACAGCTACAATCAATGGGTATGCTCCTCATTACTTGTGTTCTCAGATAACAATGGTCCATACTGAGCGTCACTGTCATACCAGGGCCAGTGTGTGTTTATGTAAAGTGCCTCGAGTGAATAATGTAGCCAGAAGCTTCTTTTTTTTACCCTGGTGCTATGGTGTGGAATGGCCTTCTGTTACACATAAAGACTTTAAATACGAGAGGGGCTAATAGAAGTCAGGTTAGGTTAGACTTATAAATTTAAATTGCAGCAACATTATTTTAAATGTGTTTGTGTTTTCTTGGGACCATGTTGGAAATAAGTCTTTTCACTTTAACATGTTATCCTTTGGATTTTTGTTGTTGTTTCCAATAATCATTAAATACAATTAATCAATCAATCAATTAACATTATATTGTGTGTTTAATTAGTACGAAAATTAAAATTAAAATTAAACATTCAACAGTTTTCACTTTGTTCTTTTGGGGGCGGGACCAGTAACTTCCAGTCTCTGTTGGTTGCCTGGCAACGGGTCCAGCCGGCTGCTGGCGGTAGCTGTACAGTCATTTAATCTAACTAAATGTAGCCAGGTAGTATCAGCAGTCATTATGAAAACAAAGTTATTAGACAATATGAGAATAAACTCCCCTCACTTACTATGGTCCTTCGGCTCTCCCTTGGCATAAAGTTAGCGTTAATTGAGTGAGAATGAGGGCGGCAGCAGCGCAGGTGGCCAGTATTGTATTTCTTTTTTTGTCTACAGTGAGACAGAGCACAATAGTCAGCAGGTAATGCTAGCACAAAGTCTAACCACTCTGAATCAAAACTAGCTTAAATGAGGAGAGATTCTTTCAAGCTGAAAGAGAAGTTACACAACAGCCAAGGACCTGCCGACCCCGGTCCAAACGCTCAGCGTCGGTGAGCTAATTAGCTGCCAGCTGAAAAACGCGCTGTGGTTGTTCCTAAACTTAAAAATGTATGGCTTTTTATATTACAAAACCAGCCGGGGGGAGCTAATAACCAATAACCTAATGAAGATAATATGGTTTTATTTGCTGGGTAATGTTACTGTGCATTTAGGAAAAAAATAAAATAAAATTTAGTTAGTGGTTGGTTAATTCAGCTAACCTTTGGGCAGAAACAGACAGTTTGTTTTCTGTCTCTTTATTCTCATGTTCTTTGTAAGCTACCTAGTAAGTTCTTAAAACTGGATGGATAAGATCAGGTTGTATGCTATGTATTGGTGTCCTGAGAAGAAAAACAAGTGACATGTTTTAATGGATACCTGAGTGATTAATCTGCACTTTTTTATTGGAATTGCTGCTCCAGTCACCCTCATCCAACTGAACCCCTCCATCTCCATCATCACCATCTTTTCACAGCCCACTGGATCTTCGGTCCTCATCTACACTACTCATCAGCCTCCTTCATCTTCACCATCTTCTTGGCAGTCAGGATGGGCAGTTGCTGAGGGTGGTGGTAGGAGCTTGAATGCACTAAAAAAAACTAATGAAACAGAGTTTAACACACACGATGACCGATTTCATACCCCCATGGTTATTTCTATGAAAAGTGCAGACTTATTAGTACAGTGGGTTTGAATGTAGTTGCCCTAGTAATATGTTGCCATCATATAAAAATAAAGATTTGTTGTCATTTTTAATATTTTAATTAGCCATATTAGGCTTTCTGTGAAGAATGACTCTAAATTAGTCAGTAAGTAGTTTTATATAATTTCAAGTCACCCAAGAGGTGTATAAGTTCAATGAATCCTGTTACAAACAATGGAAAGTGTAGTGCCATAAAATGAAACATGTGCATGGTTCTAACTGAAAGGAAATAAGACAGAAAACTCTAAAGTAATAGACTACAGTTAATATATTAAGTAACGTAATTGCCGTATATGCCAGTCTCTTCTTAGAAGCTAGACATACCTGAAAACTTGACACCTAACACCTGCCGAATGAGGCGCATAAGCGGTATCAATCTTCTCATGTCCCTCTCGACAAGTAAGTGAATAGTCGTGTTTTCAAAAATGTGCTAAAGAGTTTAACGTGACCATTGCCACAGCTACCAAAGCCTAGACCTATCTGTAATTACAAACCTCTCTCATCTGTTAAAGTATTTTCTTCACATGGTCCCTCTTTTACTCCAAATGTTGCTAGCAGTTGGGTGTTTCAGTGGCTTCAAAGGCTGGTTGATGATTTGGATCCGCCCTGATTGCGTTTTGTAGGAGTGTCAGATAACTGTGCACACTGTGTCATGGAAAAAATAATCTATATTCATGAACTTTTGTCATGAACTCTTAACTTCAAAGCAGCATGATGAAGGTGAACTGAACTCCGCAGCATCCTTCCCAAGTCAACCCATTAAGTTGTTTACCTCGCCAAGCCTTGACTCAGCTCGAGAATAGCTGGGCCGCTGCACTGGATAGTTTTTAGAAAAGAGGTTACATGTAATTGTTCTGGATATTGCAATGCCTTTGTTTATACAATAGTTTAATTAAGTGTTTTGGGAATATAGCACTGTACAATAGATTTTTTTTAACTTCTGTTGAAATAAGTGATCCACCGTTCCCTGATCCTCGTTACCACAGTCCACAGAGAATCCCTTTCAGTGGGTTCGGTGAAAAGTTGTAGTTTTCTTCAAGTTACACATTGTTTCAAAGTATGTCAACAGTCTCTATGTCATGGTAAAAGAATAGAAAAAACTTCTTGAAATATTTTATTAAGACTTTTTTATTTATTTTTTATTTTTTACAGATTTCCAAAGTAAAACATTTTTAGACACATTATTTGTATCTGAAATGTGACATTGTGTAACCTGTTACAGTAATAAGACACCTGCAGATATATAAAAAAGCCTAGTAAGACCCCTGACCCCACACTGTCTTTACACTTCCACTGACCTACAGTACTGTCACTATTTGTATACATTGTGTTGCTTTTTCATAAAGTCTTGTTTCTGTTGTAGAAAATCTGTTTTAATACACCAAATTCACTCTGAAGAAGACTGCTGAACGTATTTGCTGTTACTGATGATGTCTTTTAACCTTTGAAGGCCTTTTCATCCCTGCCAGGAACCTTTCAATTGGAATGACACATGCGCAATGAAACAATGAGGCTTTGTTAATTCTCATTAGGTGATGCTTATCTTATCTGATCTTCACATTTACATTTTAGTCATTTCAGCTGACTCTTAGAAATGAGCTGACAGAGGATCAGTGTCTCACTCAAGGACATTCAGCAGCAAACATCTTTTTGGTTTATCTGTCTTGTATCTTGAATTCCCTTTAATCCGGGAATCAGAATGGACAGCGGGCAGCCACTAACCACTTATCTCTGTATTTGTGTGTTTGAGTGTGTGTCTGTATATGTGTGTACACATCTGTGTGTGTACGTCCTTCTCTTTTCCTGTTTTGTGTGTGTATTTGTCTTTATGTGTATGTGTGTTTTTGGTTAGAAGCTCTGCGGGGGGTGACGATGGTGGAGCTGGTGAAGAAAGAAGGCAGCACACTGGGCCTCACCATCTCAGGAGGAACCGACAAGGATGGGAAACCCAGAGTGTCGAACCTGCGGCCTGGAGGACTGGCGGCCAGGTGGGTGCACCACCAGCAAAAGAAGAATAATAAAGCCGTCAGACCTTGTTGATATTCTGTAATAACAACAATCAGGAGTGAAAAAAAAGTCCACATTTTCAAAACAATGTACATATGATTGTTTCACTCCAACTGAGAGTAATTTATGCAACATTTTACATGCATTCCTTTTCTGCGCAGGAGTGACCAGCTTAACGTTGGTGACTACATCAAGTCGGTGAACGGCATTAATCTGACCAAACTGCGGCATGAAGAGATAATCAGCTTACTGAAGAACGTAGGAGAGAGAGTTCTGCTGGAGGTGGAGTATGAACTGCCCCCTACAGGTACATATTAATTCAACTCCATTTACTGCGACATCGTTTTTAGGGTCATAAAGTAAATGGCTATGGTAAGGTCAGGTCCAGTTTGATCATTATCATTATGTGAAAAACACCATGCTATCTGAAGACAATATCGGATGATTCTGCAAAAACCTGGATGACATTTAATGTTTTTAAAATCCTTCAATATCTGCACACTGCAACTATAATGACAAAAAGGAAAGACTGTGGTTGTAGCAAATACACTATAGTAACTTATGGTGAGGGCCACTGAACACCTGGTCAGAGTTAGGTTAGGGAACATCAGGGAAAGGTAGTGGTAATGGTTGATATAAAAGGTTAATGAAATGTGCAGGTCTGTCATGGGACAACCAGCCTCCACATCCTCATCCATACTTTCCAGCTTTCTGCCACATATAGTGCATACTACTCCTGCATCGGCACCGAACGTCTGCACTGGATGTAAATAGTGACATGTAGAATCGTCCAATATGAGCGTGTTTCATATGATACTGATTTGAAAAACCAATGAGACCAATGTTGGTACAGCGGCTCCTGAAAAAATACAACAAAAAAAAGGTTGTCAAATGCAATACAACACTATGTGGTGGGATGGTGGGAACTCTACCAGGATCATAAAATGATCTTCGTCATGGTAACATTCAAAATAATCCGAGTCATAGTATAACAAACTGCTGTGCGATGTTTGCTCATCCAAGCCTTTAAACTCTATTCCTCAAACCGTTACATTATATTCCTGCTACCTGTAGCAATACCCCAACCAACATCACTCCTTTGCATTTTTTAAATGCTGTGCCATTTTCCGATTGAATGCTTGCTAATACCAAGAGTACATAACAGTTAGAACTTGATGAACTCATTATCTGACTGAAGAACCCACAGCTCTTCCATGTATATGTATTTTTATTTTATCATAATTCATTTTAAGATAATAGAATTGCAGTTTCAGTAGCTACAGTAACAGCACTAAAGGTGATCATAGACATCCTTAATTAAAACCCACACTGCATACATATTGGCATCCGGGTTCAATTCAAAGTAAATATGTTTCTTGTACTGTTGTAATTGTATAGCAGTATATGAGTCATTGTTCATATTTTTTTCTGTGTTAAATGTTTTTATTCCATATGTATGAAGCAAACATTTGCATGAGAATAAAACGTTGACTACTTGATTATGGAGCAACAGAAGTAAAGTTCTCTAGCAAACACTTAACAGCTAAAGTGTAAATTGCTTTTCTCACTCTTTCACTAAATTTGATAAATTACCTGTCTCTCTCTGTCTCGACAATCTCTGCTAATTTCTCTCTCTCTCATCTCTCTCTCTCCATTTATCTCTATTTTTCTCTGTATCTCCCCCTTCTCAAAGCACCAGACAGCACCTCAGGGGTTATATCGAAGACAATCGACATCTGTTTGCACAAAGAGGGGAACAGCTTTGGTTTCGTCATGAGAGGTAACCATCACGGAATTAAGCCAATTTTTATATGTTTGGTGAACCATATGAATAGTTATGATTGACATGGCACCATGCTGAGATGTTGTCATTAAACGATCACTGATCGCCTTAAAATATAAAGATTGCATCTTTTATTTGTGTTGGCACTGAAAAAAGCTGTGAAAGTAGGAAAAAGATGAAAAATATGAAGTTGCTGCCTCTTTTTCTCTGACGTAATTTGTCTAACACAGACAGCTAATGGTTAACAGGAAGGCAAGGGTGATTTGAGTGTTTTATCTCATTAAATAGAAACTCTATATACTTTACATTTCTGCTGACCAAGCATACAATAACATTTTAAATTGATTCCCTGCTTTCCAGGAAGCCATCACTTTCAATTATTTTGACTGTTTACAGTGAGAATCAACTTGTGGGGAAGGGGAAGATTAAGGTAATCTATGGTTAAAAGAAAATTCTTCTTGCAGGTGGTACCCATGAGGACTGGCACAAGTCACGCCCCTTAGTGGTCACCTACGTCAGGCCAGGAGGTCCTGCAGACAGGTAGCACTGACGGCACACTCCTGCGACCATAGACCCATACAGTATATAAGTGTACAAAGCCACATGTTCCAAACATATTCGCACACATATCCGAGCAAACACACAAACACATACATTGTCAGAGCCAGAGAGAGGGATGCATGTCTGTTTTGGGGTGAAAAGGGCAATGACTTCTAAAAAAACGAGATGTCTAGGAAAACAAAAAGGCAGACGAGCACCGCCCCCATTGAGTTTAAACTAACAGCGGCACAGCTCAGCCAGTTCCAGTCAAGAGTCAGGGAGATTTCTCTGTGCCTTCATGCGAATAAACCCCAAGGATAACGGTGTCATTTCCTGTGACCGTCACTGGTATGTTGACAGTTATGTGTTACTCATAGCTGCAGCGGCATGAATCACCTCATATCCCTTTAATGTTGTCATCATGTGTCTGTCTCAGTCTTCATGTTTAAGAAATAATCCATGACATGTTCATGTAAATGTCAGCTTTGCGACTGTTTAACTGATGTGACGCAGCAGTGATGCAACCTGCTGGAGATCCAGTGCAGGAATTCTTACACGTTTACACTGTTAAGAATCCTCCTGGGTAAAGTACTCTGCCATCCAAAATACCATAAAATTAGCTCCAACGCTGGAACACAAGTTGTGGGCACAGATTTTCTGAAGCAGTGTTTGACAATGACCTAACATCTACATCACAATGAATTGTCACACTTATGAATATAATGACGAATATAATGATACCATGTTTTTAGTACGTCAGGCAATTATACTTTTTTCTTCATGTTTGATCATTTCTGATTTGTTTGTCATAAATAATTACTTTATGACCACTTAAAAATGATATATTTTCTGGACTGGACTTTTATTGGATGGTTGAGTTGTGAGGATTGTGTTGAAAAGGGGCCAGCAGCCAAGCTCATGTTCTCTGCAGTTGGGAAATATTTTGAGTAGATTTCTCCCAATGAAAGCATGTTAGTTTTTTAAGGTTTTTTTTGCCTTTTATTGCCTTTATTCAATAGAAACAGCTGAGATAGACAGGAAAGGTTGGTGGAGAGAGTGGGGATGACATGCAGCAAAGGGCCGGAGGTCAGATTCGAACCCGGGAACCAACTCCATACATGGGTCGCCAGCTCTACCGACTGAGCTAACCAGGCTTCGAGCATGTTAGTTAGTTATTTTTTATTCATTAGCTTTTTTTCCATTTCTGCTCAATTCAATTGCTTAAGTATATTTATAGGTAACTGTGGTATTTTTCAGCTCAATTTTCCTAAGTGACTAATTAGGACAAACATTTTTTAAAATTAGTTCAGTGTTGAGTAAGAGGGCTGCAGCTGAATCTTTTTCGGCAATCATGCACCATGAATGTGTATCTATTAACTGTGCTGGTCTTTGCCACTCAGATTGCTATGAAATGTCAACAATATTAAAATTCCTACAGAGATAGACCTTTTGTGAAAGAGTAAGATCCATTTTGTTTAGCCAGAAACAGCAGTTCAAAGCCACCAGTCTCCATTGAAAAAAACATTAACTTTACTTAGCAACATATTAACTCTTCATTCAAACTTAACAGAAACAAAATAAAACTCACCAAAACCTTGGTTTGTCTTTGCACTTTTCCAACAATCACCAACTCCGGTTTGTTCGAAATAAACCCATGATTCATCAAGAAAATATTCTGGCTCTGCATGCTGTTTCTGCCTGCTGCCTTTCTGATGCCCGACCTCCCTCTCGCTGCTCTCCCATATTTTTACTAATACTCTATTTGTGACACATCCCACCTCCCAAACAACAAAACCTCAGTGTTTGGCGCTAAGCTACGGATGAGCTGGCATGATGAAGTGTGTAGATTATCTCTATGTTAGGACTCAGGTCATATTTTTCAGCTGTGAATTTTTGGACCTGCGGGTGAGTGAACACCTGAGGTCTCGAGTAATAAAACCAATTTCAACACACCCTCAGTGCTTCAATAAAGCTTCATCTACTTATGCACTACGCAGGGGAAGGGCTTATTCACAGAGTCTCTTATACATAGAAACACAGGGAGACATAAGTAAACTACAAAGCAATTAAAATTGCAACAGACAGATACAGGAAGTATTTACATAATTTGGACCCCCGTCATTAACATACACATTTGACCTCTTCCACTTCCTTTTTAAGGAGTATAAGTGGCTATAATTTATACATTTTTGTTTTACTTTTAATGAATGCAACAGTTACAGAATAATAACTGAAAGACCTGCACTCAAATAAAAAAAACTCATTTGTGTCATGAAATCCAATATATAATGCAGTATAAAAACAGAAAACTGTGTGTCATTGTTTGAAAAATGAGATTTATTGTCCAGCACTCATTTGAAGCTCATGTTCGCCTAAGGCTGATCTCGAAGAAACATCTGGTGGTAAACATTTGTTTGTTTGTTTTTTGCAAACTGCTGTAAAAATACTTCACACCATGAAGTTATTGCTAACAGTAGCATTAACACTTAGTAGAGTAGAGTAAATAATTGTTTATTGTGAAGTATTGTGGGGAAATGGTGTTACAAATGCAGCCACAGCAGTTACTCCTTGGCACCAAACCGCAGACAAATAGAGCGAGTGTGAAACTGCACTTTCCTCCACCATCATCATAAAAAATGTCTTGTGGAAGAATGTTCAACAGACTTGGATAATCTATGACGAGAAGCTGTTCTGGAGGCTTGTGGTAGAACAACATTACTAAGACTCTTTGTTTCCTTTAATTTGTCACCCATCCGTATTGCCAATACACAAATCTCATTGCTTGAAGTCGCATTTTTGAACAGCACGCTTTACTCACTCTCCAGCCAAGATTGGAAAAGATTAAAACATGAAAGCGTAACCCTTTTCTCTGATCACTCAGCAGCTTCAATCAGTTGACGCTAGACTTTAGAACATGGAGATGCTATTTTTATTCTAGTGGCATCTATTTGTGAAAGAATTGCATGCAGTAATAAATTAGGACACATGCAGAATAACTACATGAAACTAGCTTAACTAGTTATATATCTACTGAATAAATGAATGCATGCTTGTCTGAGATCTTTCACACATATTTAGGGCTTGTGAAAGGACTGTTTCAATGTGATCCAGTAATATATTTGTCAAAATGGATTGCAGATCAACCAAAACTATTGGTTTTATATTATCCATGGCCTTATTCTAGTTTATTCTCCACAGGTGCACGCACAGATTGACAGTCTGGGACAAGACCATGATTATATTCTATCTTACTATTGAGTTATTTTGCCCCGAAGCTCATCTAACACCATTCTAAAGAAAATCATCTTCAAAATGTGGGTCAGTCTAGGGAAACGAATGAGATATTCATGCTGCTTTATATCCCATTTATATGCCAATTGGAGAAAACTTAATCCACAGCACCATATAGTCCCAGGAGTGCCTACATTTTTAGCATTACCCAGTGGGAATTACTCTGAACTCTGAACGTGTTAAGAGAACCATATCGTTTCATGCAGGATCACAAAGAAACTTCTTTTTACTGCATCATCATATGAACAGAAAAGACAGAGAGAGAGCCTGCAGGCTTTTAAAGTAGGCTAAATGTCAGTGAAGTCCTTAAGACTTTGTTTCAACCAACAACTTAAGTTGAAGCTATATTTAAAGGGGAAATTCACCCTACAACACAGTTAAATATACCCTTACCTCTTAAAATAACAACTGTCAGATTTTGACTGTATCTAAGTCTTACAAAGCTGCGCATTGAACATGTCGGCTTTTGAGCACAACCTGCAGACTTTTTATTGGGGGAAAAAACTGCACTATCACTATTGTTCTGTCTACCTGTTTCTCAGGAAGATCCAAGGGCTTTTTCTTGGGAGTTTTGAAGCAAATCTTCTCCCCCAATTTCTTGTGAAGCTTCATTCCAAAGTTACTTCTTCCATATAACCTAATTCCAGCCATGATAAAACTTTTTGGTCTGAGCTTAGCTTGCATCATGTTGTTAAAAAGCTTCAGGGCTATCAGCATCATACTTTACAACTTCTGGCTGGTATGATGACAGCTCTGTATTACTCACACTCTGGCATCATGCATAAAGCATCTACCATCAACTTAATGCAGCCCTGTGCATGAAAAATTAAAAAGGCTGCATATCCATTTTTGGAGAAATAAATAATTGCCTAAATTGTGCCATTGAGTGCCTGTAAAATATTGAGCATCTATTCCCTGAGAGTGCTTTTTATTCAACCGGGGACTCTTTAAAAATTACCATAATTTAAATGAAACCAGATCCCATGACGTTATGTTTAATCTCGTTACTTTGAATACTGTGATGCACAGAAGTATCATCTGTCATCTTAGTGCTGTTTCCACTGTGTTTGTCCTCCATTTGAACTTGAAACGATACTGTTCGTCTCAGACAGATGAGAGGAGAGAATAGAGGAGGCTGAGAAGACGGAGAGTAGTGGAGTTGTGGGAAGTAGGCCAGCTAGGAAATGAGTAAGAGAAAAAATGTGTTTGGTTAGGGAAGGAAAGAAGGAAAGCACAGAGAAAGTGCAGCAATAAGAAAGTGTAAATTGTTGTGTTGATGATTTTTCACCATCATTTTTTTTACACAGTGTCACTACAACATTGATCATTACCCAGTTATACAAATAAAGCATACTTGTAAGTTTGATTTTTAAGAGAAGATCAAAGAGGAAATGTGGAAGAAAGGAAGCAGGAAGTAAAGAGAAATGCAAACTTTAGACTTCTGTGGGGGTTTGTCTCAATTCTTGAGGTTGGCTGTGTTTCTGAATTCTCTTCTCTTATCACTCTATGTTAACATCTGATTTTGTCTTTGTGCGCATGTCCAGAGAGGGCACACTGCGTCCTGGTGATCGTCTCCTCAGTGTGGATGGCGTGCCACTGCACAACGCCAACCACAGCGACGCCCTCAGTGTATTGTCTCAGTGCGGCCAGGAAGCCCTGTTCCAGATAGAGTACGATGTCACTATCATGGGTGAGAGACCACACACACACACACACACACACACACACACCAGACTCAGACATGAATTAAACCTTGGGGCAAAAGTTTCTAGACTTTACTAAAATGCCACTGAAATTAAAAATTTGATGTTTTTTGTTTATGTGTTGGCATTTTCTGCTGCCCCAGGTGAAGCTTTGCCTCTTTTTTGTGGATAACTGCTCAATTTAGCTCACCCATAATGCATTGCAAAGAATTCCCTGGTCGTCACATCTGGTGGTTGTTGCTTTTAAGGGCATTTCTGCCTCAAGCTCATCTGCTACTTAATGTTGGTGTTACAGAAAATGAAAGGTACTCTGGTATGCCACTGTTGTTTTTTCATATGCACAGGAGCATCAGATCACAGTAAACATCAAAGTGATTTAAAATGAAAAACATTTTTCCCCATTTAGACACAGTAACGAACGCCTCTGGTCCGCTATTAGTGGAAATTGCCAAGTCGCCAGGAGCAACGCTGGGTATCACACTTACGTCGGCCAATCATCGAAACAAGCAGGTCATTGTCATCGACCGGGTTAAACCTGGCAGCGTGGTGGACAGGTACACACACACTGACACCCAGTATATGTCTGCATACATGCAGCACAATGCCTTTGCTTCTGTATAAGGCTCAAAGCAGTAGTGAGTGGACTGCATGCAGGCTGAAGGATAGGTGGAGCTTGTTGGGCTGCAGACATTACTCAAGACTAAAACATACAGAAACAAATGGTTTATCCATACATCCATTCACAGGTTACACTGTGTAATTAGAATTTTCTCCTAAAACCTGAACATCAAACAAAGATAAGGCAGTAAAAGTCAGTACTACAGTATCTTAGTAAAGATGCAAATAAAATATGAAAAATGAAATATATAATATATATAGAATATACGAGAATATATAGAATATAGCCATTTGCCTTGCACTTTTATTTTTTGTAGTAGACCGTAAATATGGAAAGCACAGTAACCAAGGTGATAATGTGTCATTTGCTAGGTTAATGCCTATGAAAGCAGGAAGTACCATTTACATTCAGTTTTTTGGGGACTCTTTTATATTCCCGCGCACCCTTGAAGCTAAACCTGCAGTTGTATATTTGTTGAAAGTGTCACTCTACACACACAGATACATAGGCTGTATCCAGCTCTATAACTAACTCAGACAGTAGGAGACAGGATATTGCCCCAAGCCCCAGTCTGGCTCTAAAATATACATGAAGCACTTGAACTTTGTGTCACTGCTGCGAGAGCACTAAAATAACCTCAGTCAACTGAACAGGTTGACTGTGGAGGTCCTTGTTCTGTCACTATTCATTCCCACATTATTGCAAATTCAGTTTTAAAATTTGAACTTCCGTATGAAATGCAGAGACACCAGGTTGACCAGCTGTGCAGCCTGCTGGTCTGAGCTAATCAGGCTGACTTGTATAGCCGACGTGTGGTTTTCAAACAGAACAAAAACAAAGCAGTATTTCGGAGTATTACTGAAACAGCAGCAAAGTAACTATTGACAGTGTTTCTTTCTCTGGTTTTGTTGTGGGGAGATTATTTCCTTATTCTCCTGGTCTTTCTGTTTTACCAGATGTGGAGCATTGCACGCTGGAGATCACCTGCTGTCCATAGACGGGACATCGACAGAGCACTGTACAGTCCTGGAGGCAACACAGCTATTAGCAAGCACAACAGAACTGGTGAAATTAGAAATACTCCCCTCCCATCAAACAAGGCTAACTGGGAAACAGCACGACACAGGTGGGTGTACTGGCTCTGTGTCCCTGCGTATGTCCACCAAGTCTACCAAAAAATACCTTTT